CAATATGTATAGGCGGATACTGATTTAAAGGGTTCTAAAGTATGTGGTTGTTAGGTTGTATAGAATAATCGTAACACGTATCTATGTTCGAGAAGCTCCACAAAATTTTTTGGTGGGTTTGCAAGAATCTTGGGACCCTTGACAGATTCCACCACCAATGGTGAATGTGCCTGTGTGTTTGAAAATGTATGGTAGACCATACCATTCTAGATTCACTTAAAAAAAAAATTAAATTAAATAAATAAAAATTAATAAATAAATAAAAACGAGGCAATGTGTCACAAATTATTTACAAAGGTCAGATAAATTCTGCGAGCACAATAGAACGAGCATGAATTTCATATAGGGTGCATTTGATTGTTAACATTTTTTCACCAAAATTCTTACTTTTGTACTGTTTGATTGTCATTTTTTCATGAAATTTTTTTTCCTATTTTTGGTTATGTGATCATATTTTCCTCAAAATCAAGGAAAAAAATTTTGCTTTAGGAAGAATAGGATTTTATTCTCTACGGAATTCACTCCCTCTTTTTCTCTCTCATTTACCCACCAATAAAAATTGGACAAGTATAATATTTTCTATGTTGAAAATTAAATCATTCAAATACATTTAATTGACAACTTCCATACAAATAAACTCTAAACAATTGAACTACCTATAATTTATTTTCTTTCCATACAAATTCCATACTTGCAATCAAACGTACCTTTAGATCACATTTTTGCACTCAAATCACATTTTGGTTCCACATGTGATCAATTGAGTGGCTTATATAGAGTTATATTGCAAGTTAAACTTGTCGTAACCATTGATTAGCAGATAGTTTTTGAATTGAAAAACTTAAACACCTATTTATATGTAATTTTCTCTAAAAAATTTATATTAGTCAACTTTTAAGTCCTAAATTTAAAATGCCCAGATAGTTTTTCGCAATTCTTGGCCCACCTATTTATAGACTACAAATCTTGCTAGTTAGTATCCAATGTGGAAAGTGAGAAGTTGGGATCAATGAAAGCAACTCCAACTATTGGTCCCCTTTGGTTGTTTAAGTTATAAAATAAATTAATTATTATTTTTTTTATCTCATTTTAATTAATAAAAAATTAAAAACTCTTTATATATTTCAATTAACAATTTTATACTATTATCTAATATTATTTATTATTTGAAAATTACATGTAAAGTATAAAATAATTTTCAATCTGGAAAAAAATAATGTGTAATAAATTATGCTATAATATATAAAATATATTATATTATTATAACTAATTGGATCGATTTGTTATCGGATCGAATTGGCCTATATCTATATTTATTTCATTTAGTTAACAAATTATTGGATTCAAATTTTAATTGAGCTATCAGACAAAAATCCTAAATCCATCTCCCATTAATTTCATTAGGTTCGGATCAAAATTCAATCCATTGATAACCCTATTCACCTTTGGTGTTTTGCCTTGAACGTCGGCTTATCATCGTGATACACTATTCAAAGTTGTTAATGAATATATTGTATATTTCACTTTGGGTCCCCAACCTTTCAGTTTTGTGACAACTTCATTCCAGTACAATCTTTATCCCTCCTCCTATTCTCAACTTATTTTTTTTCGAACATATTGTACCTATTGACAGATTCCATCAAAGTATTCCTTCAGAGTACTGCAAAAAGACATTCTGACCCTTATCTTTAAATATAAAAAAATCAAATGCTAAAAGGCAAAAGAAAAAGACAAAATAAAAAGAGACTTCCTTTGGTCTCTGGCAAAAATTTGGTCAGCGTGTAAAAATGAATTGAAATCTTTACATAGCTGTCAGAGGCTTTGTAGAGCTGGAGATTGTGTGAGGGGTGTATGAAGGGTGGTTGAAAATGATGGCGGCGTCTCTTTGGTTTGATCGAATCATTCCCTTAAGTTTTGTCTAATTAATTTGCGCTCGGTGAAGCCTGGGGCAATGAGGTTTAAGTGCTGATGGCGAAAGATGTGCAGGTGAGGGTGGTATGGAAGGAGGATAGAGACATGACATGGATATTGTGGTGCCCCAATTTTGGGTTGGATTTAGGAGTTGGGGTTGGGGGTCGGGTCGGGTCGGGTCGCGTGAAGAAGTTAGAAGGGAAAATAAGTTAGAATGACCACCACTAAAACACATTTTATTCAGCTGGTCTTTGATCAAAATTATAAAAATAAAAGGAGCTTTAATTATTTAAAAGTGTTAAAAGATTTTTTTACCTTTAACTTGTAAAACAAAAATGAAGAAAGGATTGAAGTTTTTCTCAGTTGTGACTTGAACCCTGAATGGCAAAAAAATATTTTTAACTTCACAACCATTATAGCAAGTGATGGTCCTTTTTTTATGAGCAAAAAATATATATTATATTTCAAAAAATTGTTTCCTTTTTCACTTCAAAAACAAAATTTAATTAAAATTAAAATTTAACAATAACCCCCCGGTTGAACCATTAACCCAGTGGTTTTTTCCAAGTCAATCATCGGGTTGGTTCTAATAACTATGCATTCATATTCTAACATACACACCTTCCTCTTCCTTCAAATTCAAAAAACTTTCCATTTCAAAATCATCTTCTTCTTAGAATTCCAACTCTTCTTTTTAAGTTTAATGTCATCTCTTCTCCGTAGTAGATCTCCGTTGCACCCAAAGTTTTAACATTTTCCACAACTTAGCAACTAGTTGAAAACAATAACTGAGTCATTTATTCATTAGACACCTATTATAACACATGAAATTGTTTAAAATAAATTTTATCGTTATATTTTTTAAAAAAAAGGACAAAAATATTTTTTAAATTCCTGTTTTATTTAGAGTCCAATAATTAGATTTCGATAAAAAGCGATGTAGTATATCAATATTGGACTCATTTTAAAGTTTGCAATTAATAAGAACCATTAGACTTGAGAAAAAGTCAATTAGGATAAGCCAGCACCAAGATATTGTAGTTTGAATAAATCATAAAATATAACTTATCAATTTAATAAAAATTTGAAAAGGAAATTAGCTGCTAACACTGTTTCACTGATTTACATAACGACATTGAAATCGTTTCTGAAATATAAAACGACTTCGATATATTTTCAACATTAAATACACTCTGCTTAACTGTTTCTATAACGACATTGAACTCGTTCCTGAAATACAAAAAACAATGTATATGTCGTTTCGATATCGAACACACATTGCTTCACAATTTAACAAGTTTAGGCGCACGCAATGAAATAAGTAAACAACATTTATGTCATTTCAATACAATTTTCGACGACAATGATATCGTTTCCATTCAAATCGTAACTATAACGTCATACATATCGTTTCAGGAGTGGTTATACTAGAACGTCATAACTACAATACTAAATGTAATTGAAATTTACATATTTTCTTGACTTTTTATAATTCTCAAGTTTCCATATTGTATATGTCTAGAATGTGGACATTGTGCATATTTATGTAACGATATACACTTTGTTACGATGACATAAAGTAGTTGATATCGTTCTAGTATAAAATGCACTTATTCTAATAACGA